GTATTTCACTCCTGGCAAATCTTGGGCTCCACCGCCCGCAATCAGCACTGACTGATACTCTTGCAAATTGTGACCTTCACCTGGCACATAAGCAGTAACTTCTTTTTTGTTTTTTAAACTTATTCGCACAACACTCCGCAAAGCCGAATTAGGCTTCATTGGTTTAATCTTAGATACTTTTTTAATTATTCCGGATTTCTGGGGGCTGGCTTGCCACGAATAACGGTGACGCAAAGAGTTCCAGCGAACTTTTAAGGCTAACTCTTTTTCCTTTTTTTTTTTCGCAACCCGAGGTTTGGTGATTAACTGTTGAATAGTTGGCATATTATATTTTTTAATGCCTTAGGGGAAAGCCAAGAGTAATTTACTAAACTTGGGGGGGTTTTTCTTCTTTTGCTTCTTCTTCCTCTATTTCTTTAACACTGTAAACTAATTTTTCGAGCATTGAATAAGGACGTCAGATTAGGCGAATAATTCATATGATTAAACTACAAAGGGCAAAACATACTACAAAACAAAGGGAAAAAAAAATAGTTCTTATAATATTATCACTAAAAGGCTCGTTTAAGTAAATAATGATACCACTTCCTACTATTGACAACACAAGATTAACTATTGAGCCTCACATTCATAAACTTGACACTGACGAGTTATATTTTTCTGCTTCGGGTTGAAATTGATTATAACACTCTTCACATTTAACTCAACGTGGTTTTTCTATTTTTTTACCTTTGTCAAAAATGTAAGCGAATTCACCCTCGCGAATTAATGTTCGGCAGAAATTACACTTACCAATTATTCTCTCCACATTGTTGGTTTTTTTGGTTTTGTTGTTAATGTTGTCATTCATATTATTCATTTATTTCGATATTATTTACTATAATTTTACTAGTTGACAGTTGTAGAGAGAGAGAGAGAGAGAGAGAGAGAGAGAGAGAGAGAGAGCCCGAAAACACCAGAAAAAACAAACTTTAAGGTTTAAATATAAAGTAATATAAGTAATAAACATTGTATGGAAAAAATTGTTATCCGAAGTTCACAAGTTGCTATTTCTCCCCAGAAAATGAACTTGGTCGCTGGTCTTATCCGCAGAAAGAGTTTAGATTACTCCTTACAAATTTTGTCCTTTTTGCCAAAAAAAGGAGGGCGAATAATTCACAAATTACTGCAAGGAGCAGCCAAAAACCTCAGTAAAAACCAAGAAGAGATTAATAATTTTTATTTAAGCAGAATTGAAGTAAACCGAGGGCGAATTCAAAAAAAGTTAATTTGTCGGGCCCGTGGTCGAGCCGACCGACTAAAAAAAAGATATTGTCTGATTAATCTTTACTTAACTAAACAAGAAAATAACTAATATATGGCACAAAAATCTAGCCCTTACGCGATAAGAGTAGGCTATAATCAACTCTGAAAAGATTATTTTTTTCCTAGCAACCAAAAGGAACAATCTAGTTTTTTACGAGAAAACAAATTAATTCGTGATTATCTTTATAAAGTTTTTCCTGACATCGCCCAATTAAAAATTGAACGCAACCAAAATAAAATATTCGTTTACCTTTCTATTCCCGAAGTTAGTTTGGTTCTAGGAGAAAATCAAGAAAATTTGAAGAAAGTTGTAAAAAAAATTAACTTGTTAATTAATAATGATAAGGTTGCTGTTCAACTCAATTTAATTGAGGTGAAAAAAGTATATTCCTGTGCCCAAACAATTGCTAATTTAGTAGCCAGCCAATTAAAAAAACGTTTGCCATTTCGTCTAGTCCTCCGTAATACAAACAGCAAACTAGTTATGGAAAAAGAAGTGAAAGGAGCCAAAATCAAAATTAGTGGCCGCCTTGACGGAGCCGAAATTGCTCGTGCTGAAAGCATTAATTACGGCAAAATGCCATTAAGCACCATTGATAGCAACATTGATATTGGTCGCCAAGAAGTAATTACCACCTACGGAAAAATCGGCATTAAAGTGTTAATTTACAAAGGAAAACTTTGACAAAGAAAAAATTTGAACTAAAAACATAATTTTCGCTTTTCCTCTTTCGTCGCTCACTCAGCCAGTGGTTTATTTCACCAATTCATTAGTTTTATTCACCATTTAAATTGTTTTCGCTAGGAAACTAAAATGAAATTTGGGTTTGTTCTAAGTTGTGTAATAACTACAAATCCACTCTACTAATTCATCTTTTTCCACCGAAAAATTTTTTACTCGGTCTTGACGAAGATCCTTTACCAAAACTTTTCCTTCTTTTTCTAACACAACTAACAATTGAGGATGATAATAGTCAATAATTTTAGCAAAGTTTGGTTTTGTTTTTAGATTTAAATTGTATTCAATTAAAAAGGAACTTTCTAATTCTTTTTTTCAAATTAGAACTTTTGGATAGTCAGAAAAGTCAAAAACTAGAAAAAAAATATCAATTTTTTGAGCGACTGGTAGTAATTTTTCTTCTTCGCAATAATTTAGCAAGCGATCAATACCTATGGCAAATCCCACTGCTGGCAAACTAATTCCCCCTAATTGCTGATAAAGTCGGTCATACCGACCTCCACCCACCAAAGCCTTCTCCTGACCTAGTGTGATTTCGAAAACTAGCCCAGTGTAATAATCTAAACCACGAACCAAGTGATAATTGTATTGATAAGAAAAGTTATTGTCGTCTAAAATTTGGTTAAGTTGGTTTAGGTAATTTTTGTCTTCTTCGCTCCAAGCCATTTCATAAGAAGGAAAAGTAAACTTCTCTCGACAGAATCCACAATCAAGTATTCGTAAGGGGTTAGTGCTGGATCTTCGGCGACAATCAGCACACAAATCCGGGCTAGTGGTGGCAAGAAACTTTTCTAGTTTTTGTTTATATCGTTCTTGGGTAGTTTTGTCACCTAAATAATTCAAATGACAAGTGAATTCTTTAATTCCCAGTGACCAGAAAATATCTCGCACCAATTTTAGCATTTGATAATCCGCCCAAACTCCCGAAGCTGCTATTAGTTCAACACCCAATTGCCAAAATTCTCGGTAGCGGCCTTTTTGGGGGCGTTCGTAACGGAACATGTTAGCCCAATAGTATAGTTTCAAAGGGAAACCGGAGACAAATAGCCTATTTTGAAGAACTAGTCGGGCAGCACTAATTGTCCCTTCGGGACGCAAAGCTAATTTTCGACCTTTTCGGTCAGAAAAATTAAACATTTCCTTATGAATAATGTCAGTTGCTGAACTAAGAGAAGTGTTAAATAACTCGGTGTATTCATAAGTAGGAAGGATAATTGGCTGAAAACCATTGCGAGTTAAAACTTCTTCCACGAGGCGATAAACTTTTTGGTAAAGCAAAGAAAGAGGCGGATAAATATCACGGGTGCCCTTAGGGCGAGTGATTAATTTCATATTTTTTCCTTAGTGTTTTTTTTGAAATGAGACAATGGGGGTTTGTAAACAGAACAAACCTCGTTGCTTGCCGAACTTTAACAAAAAAATAGTTATTTTGTTCTTAATTACCTTTGTCTTTGAGTTTTTTAGTTTCTTCTTCTTTTTTTTGCTCTTCCTTGAAAATTTTTCTAATCCCTTCTAACATTTCTAACCGCCGGTTTCGACTTTCCGGATCTTGGTCTTTCTTTATTTCTTCCTCTAAAACCACAATTTGCTGATAAATTTGCAGGCTATTACTAATATTTTTAAACTTATTACTTTTTTTTAATTGTCCGTAAGTTATTTCCTTAGTAATTTTATTTTTCAATTCAATGTTTTCGCTCTCAGCACTGTATTTTCTTTTGTTGAACCAATATTCAACTGCTTTCTCAACCGCTATTACACCCGACACGAAGGTAAACACTGCCACAAAAACACCTAAATCACTTGCAGAAAAACCACTTCTTTTTCCTCCCGTGTTGTTTCCATCAGGCATAGTATGAGCATTTATTATATTATTATTTTTTAATTTTCTCTTTTCAAAGTAATACGCTAAAACAGGCAGAAAACAATAAAAATATATCTGATACCGGAGAATTCTGCATAAAAAACATTTCTTTCTCCTCTTTCCGTGAGGTTTGTGTTCCTTCCAGAGATGTTGATGATAGGTTAGAATGCAAGGAAAAACTAAAAAAAGGCATCCAACTCATCCATTTTCTGAAATAAATTTTTTTTCATTAAATATTGCCATTTAACGAAATTTTACTCAAAAAGATTGAAAAAATAACTTCATGACCAAATCAGTAATTTTTTTAGAGTCAGCCACCAAAAAAAAAACTATCGGAACTTTCTTGGGTCAAGATTATGTGATATTTGCAACGGGCGGACATCTCACCGAGTTAGCCAAAAAAGGTTATTACAATTTAGGAATTGAATTAGAAAAGTTCACCCCCACCTATGAGATAATCCCCGATAAAAAAAGCCTGATTACTTTTTGAAAAAATTTCTTGCAACAAGAGAAAGTTAGCAATATTTACCTCGCTACTGACCCCGACCGCGAGGGAGAAGCAATTGCGGCGGAAATAGTGAAAATACTAAAAATTTCTCCTGACCAGCACCAACGCTTATTTTTTTACGAAATAACTGCTCGCAGCATTAAAGAGGCCTTAGCCAATCCCCTAACTCTAAATAAAAATTTGGTCGCGGCTCAAACTTCCCGGCAAGTTTTAGACCGGATAATTGGTTTTTTGCCTCAGCACCGCTTTACAAAAAAAACTGCAAGCCCTTTCCGCCGGTCGGGTGCAATCAGTAGTTTTGAAATTAATTATCGAACGAGAATTATTAATCCGCAACCACGAAAAAAAAAAAGAGTATATTATTTGTGCTCTTTGCTTAGTAGGAACAGAAAAAATTACGCTTAAACAAGTAAAACCAACCGGGGAATTAATGGTTTATCAAGAAGTCGCGGCAGCCGAAGAAACAATAAAAAATTAGGAACTGATTTTCACTTGTTTAAAAAAAAAGAGGAAAAAAAAATCATTCTTCCTAAACCACCCTTAACTACTTCTTTGCTACTTTTCGAAGCCAAATCTCAGTTAGGATTTTCTATTGCTCAAACTACTCAGTTAGCCCAAAAACTTTATGAAGGTGTCACGCTAGTCAACTCTGGAAAACAAGTTGGGTTAATTACTTATCCTCGCACTGATTCAACCCGTATAAATCGCGAGTTTGCTAACTCTTCTTATAATTTCATTAGCCACAAATGAGGACGAGATTATTGTAATTTCTCTCCTTCCTGAGTTAAAAAAGAAAAAAAAGCCAACGTTCAAGATGCTCACGAATCCATTCATCCAACTCATCTCACCTACCATCCCGAAAACGAAGAACTAAAAAACTCTCTCGCTACGAATGAGTATCAATTATATTGTTTAATTTTC